CACTGAGCCCCTCCTCTCATCCCCAAATGAGACTCCTGCAGCTCTCCATGCACACTTAGTCCCTTGCCTTACTCCTGCACCTCCACACATCCCTATCCCCTGCCCTGAGCACACCTACCACAACCTTTCGCAAACTCCTCAAGTACTATACTGTCCAATTACACCCAACCCCCTGCCCTGAGACCCTCTCCACCTGGGCAAGGTGTGATACAACAATACTTGTAATGAATTTAAGTTATTTTCATCTTGAAGGGAGCATGTCAAATCATGAGCAGGAGTGGGCAAAAAGAAAAACTTGGTACTGGTTTTATTGTAATCATGGATGTTAAATGTAACACTTATGAAGTTACAAAACAGTATTTTCTCCTTGCAGCTTTGTAGGGCTTTCATTGTTTGAAAAGTGTATATAAATTAAAACATTCCATAATTTCTCATCTTTTCTTTCTGATGCCTCTCTTTAAAATCATGCTTATGTTAAATTAGTATTCATAAGAACAGCCATACTGGGCCAGACCAACGGTCCGTCTAGCCCAGTATTCTGTCTTCCGACAGAGGCCAATGCCGCATGCCCCAAAGGGAGTGAACAGAACAGGAATCTTCAAGTGATTCCTTTCCCGTCATCTGTTTTCAGCTTCTGACAAACAGAGGCTAGGGACATTTTAATATAACGAGATTTAAGAATGTATTAATAATTCTGACATGTCAGTGATATGCAAATAGAATATATGAATGTGATGGATTTTTAATAACATACTATGAGACTGCTAGTTAACATCTTACTCTTGTTTTCAGTTTTCATGAAATAACACTTATTACAATATTTGGCTAATCATTAATTGATAAGCTTATTTATGAACAGTGTTAAATATATTCATTTTAATACATAATATAAAATGTAGCCATTTTGACACAATGGCCAAATATGACTGATGGCTTTGTGTGCTCAACTTGAAATATCTTAAACTTGTCTAATGTTCAGAAGACATGTGTGCAGCATTCTGGAATTCCAGGCTCCTTCTTAAATACCTCAAGTTAGGTATCCAAAGTCGTTATTCACTTTTGACATTTTTGTTCAGTATATCTTGTGAATTTTAGTTTTAAGCAGTGTGTGTAATGTCCACCTATTTTGTAAAATCCTTCCCTGAAATTAAGTATGTTTGTTTGAGTTAAGCTGTTGACCTGAGGATTTCCTAACTACAGTAAAACTCCATTAGTCCGACATTCAATGCTCTGGGACTCCTGATGGTCCGGCACCATCAGGAACCCGGAAGTGCTGGGGCAGCCAGACAGGCTTCCCCCATTCAGCTGCTGCTGAAACTGACCAGCAGCTGAATTGGGGAAGCCGGGAGCAGAACAGCTGGGGTGCTGCGGGGTTGGTCTCATAGCACCACCCCTCGGCGCTGCGGGACCAACCCGGCAGGACCCCAGCTGCTCTGCCCCAGGGGTCCCCAAGTCAGCCGCTGCTGAAACAGATCAGCGGCTGATTCCAGGAAGCCCCGTTATAGGACCAACCAGGCAGTACCCCAGCTGCTCTATTGCAGGCATCCCCGATTCGGCTGCTGCTGAAACTGACCAGCAGCGGCTGAATCAGGGACGCCTGGGGCAGAGCCGAACTATCGTAAGGGGGGCTATGAGGGGCCTGGGGTGGCATCCCCTCCCACCCCATTCCAGACCCCTCATAGCTCCCCCCTTCTGATAGTCCGGCATATCTGATAATCTGGCACCCCCTGGGTCCTAAAGGTGCCGTATTATCGGAAGTTTACTGTATTAGCAAACATTTGTTGAATTAGAAAGATGAAATTGCTTGGTAGTCTTCCCCTCTTACTTTATACTATGTCTTTCTAGTGTTCTAGTGTGTAATAAAGATACAAGTGTTACCTTACTAGATGTTGTCTGTTTTGCCATTACATTAATTTAGATTGAAGAGATGTATAGAAGTAGGGACTCACTGGTCTGGCAATATCCTGCGGCTGGTAGCAGGGACTATGGCTGGGAGCCCAGTGCGGGCCAGGAGAGGAACCCAGTGGCCACCTGGGAGTGCTAAGTGGACTGCAACTGGGGGCCAGATTGACCTCCCCTGCTATGGCAGACTTCCTCATTTGGGACAGATCAGGTCCCGAGGGTGCTGGACCAAGGAGAACCAAAGTGTAGGACATTTAGTTTAGGATCTGATTCTTAAAAGGGACAAGATATCCTAAGTCTTCTGTTATTTCCACATCATGATTTAGCTTCTCATTTTGTTAATTGAAGATTTGACATAGCATGAATCCCTTTTGCTTTTTAACATTCATATTTGTCTTACACCTAATGTCTGCTATGGGCTACCTAGCCTAGCGAGTGGGCTGCATAAATGGTCCTCTTTCATCTCAGTGGACTGCAAGATTGTTGCAATTAGTTGATTTTTCAGGATAAGTTAGTTTTGCTAACTGTGCTAGTGTACCTAGAATTGTCAGGGTGTGCCAAATGAATCATAACAGTGCTTTGATTGGATGCAGAAGGAGTGTATGGCTCTTTGTCAATGTTATGTCCAATCAAAACGACCTCACTTCATGTGCGTTTTTTTTTTTAGGCTACGTCTAGACTGCAGAGTTAATTCAGAAAGATATGCAATTTGCAGTATCCAAATTGTGTATTTTTTCTGATTTCTTCAAAAGAGGCTTTACTGAAATTTGGCACGTCTAAACGGTGCCAAATTTTGGAAAAATTTGCTCTTTCGACACATCCTTTATGCCTCGTAGAACGAAGTTTACAGGGATGGCGAAAGAGCGCATCCGCTTTTTTGAAATTTTTTTCAGAAAAGCGGACACGTTCCTTGGATGTGGCATTGCTTTTCTGGGATACCTCTGGTATCCCAGAAAAGTGCTGCAGTCTAGACATAGCCTTACATGCATGTCACTTGAGCAGTACTGGTAGTAGGGAAAAAAAAACTACGCAAAGGGGAACCAGTAGAATCTGGTAACCCTGTGTGTGGTCATGGGTAAACAAAATGTCATGTGGGCCACACTTAGAATTTTGGTTGGCTGCAAGTTGCCTACCATTGCCCTAAATTGCAGCAAGGGAGGTTTAGACTGGACATTCGAAAAAACGTTGTCATTGTGGTTAAGCACTGGAATAAATTGCCTGGGGAGGTTGTGGAACCTCCATTGTTTGAGATTTTAAGAGCAGGTTAGACAGACACCTGTCAGGAATAGTCTAGATGGTGCTTGGCCCTACCATGAGTACAAAGGGCTGGACTTGACCTCTCAAAGTTCCTTCCAGTTCTGTGATTCTATGTGGTATAAAATACTGCATGTCACTCTTCCTCTTAATTACTTTTAATACTGAACTTCTGAATTCCTTCCAATAATTGGGGTATTAAAATACGTAGTTAGTTATATAGCAAAATGAAGAGGTGATTACAATTGTTTTCAGCTATTGTAATAGTTAAGCCTTTTCTTACATAGTACTGAAACTGTTAAACCTTTTTTAAATAGATGTAACTATTTTAAAATCTTCTAACAAGTAGATGTACCAACAGTTTCAGAGCCACATGTAGCTTGATATTACTACTACTTTGATTAGACTAGACTAGACTAGGGATGTTAAATTGCGGTTTATTGACTAATCAATAGAATTTCCATCAACTAGTCGATAGGCACTTCCATATTCCTCCCTTGAAATGTACAAGAGCTGCCGCTGGGGCTCTTGTACATTTCAGAGGAGGAATGCGGAACTCCGCCTGCAGCCCAGGGCCAGCGGGAAGTCCTGCAGACTCCGGGCTACATGTAGCATGCCTGCTTTGAAATGTACAAGAGTCCCCAGCGGGGGCTTTTGTGCATTTCAAAATCATGGAGCCTAGGGTCAGCGGAGGACTCAGAGCTCCATGTTGACCCCAAGCTCCATGCTGTGCTGGGGACTCCCAGCTGATCCTGGGCTCCTCACAGCAGCGGAACCTGTCATTTTCCCAGAATCCAGTATCAGCTAAGGAGTTCCCAGCTGACCCCAGCCTCCTTGGCAGCTGACTCTTTGAAACAGAAGATCTGCCTTGGGGTTTCAAAGTGGCAGCGCTGCATAGCTGTGCGGCGCTGCCACTTTGAAGTACCCCTTCTCACCCCCCTTTGCTGCCTCTATCTGATAGAGGTAGCAAAGGAGGTGGTGGTGAATCGACTAGTCGACTGAGTTGACTAGTCTTTAACATCCCTAGATGAGACTAATAAGCCTAAACTAATCTTATATCATTAAGCAAAAGCAGGACTCAAGTGTACTCTTTCTAGCTGCTGGGGAGGAAAATGTACTTCTCCCTTTCTTCTCTTCTCTCAGTAACAAAAGAGAATTCTGGGGGTCAGTCAGTCACCTTTATGCACAAATGCAGTTCCCTGTGTTTCATTTATTGTATGTTTATGGAAATAAGTTGTTGCTGTTTGTGTTTCTCCATCTCCGCTAGTATATGCTGTTGAAAAGGCGCCACAATGGACTGGGGAGAATCTTCCAACATAAAGTGTAGAGATATGGTACCATGTGATATCTCTTTGTAAACTCCAGCATAGAGGAACTGTGGTGGTGGTCAGAGTTGTGCTTAACACCACAGGGAATACTGACTCAAGTACATGGCGCTCTGTGAATGAAGGAATGGTTGTAAAATTAAGAGCTCCTGTGGCTGCTCTGTTTTGTCAGGGACTATTTTTTGGTCTCTGCAGCAACACAGATTATATGACATACAGGTGATTTAATGGAGAGACAGCACAGTCTGCTCTTAGGTTCTGTGCTAGCTGGAAGTTCTTCTGTCATATTTTGATATAATTTTTGTGCTTGATTCTTTTGCTTATGAAAGTATCTTAATATAAATTTTGGACAGATAAAAATTTGATAACTTTTGATATTTAGAAATAGTGCATAAAGTATGACACAAACATATTCTGAATAAACATCTGTTCAGGAATCACTTAAATTAAAAATGCACATATATGAAGATTTTATTAAAACCAAAACATTAATATTCAATTGATTGACTTAGATTATTTTTTACTGTTGTACTTTTTCATTACAGAATGTATGACAATATGTCCACAATGGTGTATCTAAAGGAAGAGAAGTTGGAGAAGCTTACTCAAGATGAAATCATTTCTAAGACTAAGCAGGTGATTCAGGGTCTAGAGGCACTGAAGAATGAACATAACTCCATTTTGCAGAGCTTACTTGAGACACTGAAGTGTTTGAAGAAAGATGATGAAACCAATCTGGTGGAAGAAAAATCAAACATGATTCGAAAGTCACTGGAAATGTTGGAACTTGGACTTAGTGAAGCACAGGTAAAATTGGATCAAGGGAAATCATTTCAACCTGAGACTGCATTTGCTTTCATATCATTGCAAACTTTATTTTTTGGGACTGAAGTTTAGTTACAAGCACAGATTTGAAATTGGGAGGTTAAACTGGCTTTTACATCCCTAATAACTATATAGAGCAGTGTTTCTTAAACTTTTTAAGACTGAAGAACACCAAATAATATTTTTTTTATGAGGAACACCAAGGATTTTTTGTTAAGCAAATGAAAAAAGTCCTTTGCCCCTTAAGGGTGGCCATTTTGAATTCTGTTGTTCTCCGCAGCATACCTGTGTGTGGCAGAACACAATTTAAGAAACACCGATATAGAGTGACTGCAAGTGGTGGTTTGAGTGTGTAGCTAATTATTCAATGAACATTCGATCCTGGCCTCACTGAAATAACACAAAGCTATTCTTTGACTTCATTGAAATGAGAATTTAATTTTATATATAGGCATTTTTTGTGGCATTTGTCATATAGTATCGGAGCACCTCACAGATGTTAATGATCCTTACAACAACTCTGGAGAGTTAGAAAAATGTCATTCTCACTTTACATATGGGTAGCAGAGGCACAGAAATTAACTAACTTGTCTGAGGTTATACAGAGCTGGTAATAGACCCGAGTCCCAATCCAGGGATTTAGGATTATTTTTTTAATCCCTTGTATTTAAGGGTCTCTAATGTTGACCTAACTTTTTTAGTAAAATTTAAAAAAACTAGTTCAAGAATTTGCTAAACACTGAGTATTGAATCAGAGAAACATTCCTCCTTTAAAAGAAAAAGTCCTACTTATTTTGTGAAACGACTTGGTTGCAGAAAATGTTATTTTGGGGAAGGTGGGCAGAAGCTGCAAAACTGATGTGTATGTGTGTAAGAGTGTTCTTAGGGATGGGCATGTGTACTACAACAAACTGACTTGTGGTTTCAGACTATTTTCAAAATGTTTCTTGACTGTTTTGAATTTTATTTAAGTTAAATACACAAAGTTGCAAGAGAGTGGTAAAACAGCCAGTGTTTGGAAAATGTGAAACCTTCCATCCCTCATATGAGGAAAGAAAATGCCAACAGATGTCTTTAAAGTCACCTTTTGTGGGTGTATATAAAAAATTCTTATAGAAAAGTAAAGAAATAGGAAAGGAAAAATGCTTAAAACACTGGATTTTTAGACTCGGGAAATGAGATTCAATTCCTGGCTCTGTCACATCAATGAATCTCTATTGTTCAATTCTAATATGTAAAATAACAGTATACCACTGTGAGATAGGGAAGCATTTGTGTCTGTAAATTGATTAATATTTGTGTGACATGGAGATTTTTTTTCTGTGAAGGTAATGCTCATTTTGCTAAGAGTAATTAATTAACTTTTACTTTCACTTTCCCATGTCCACCGGACCTCCTCTAGAGAGTTAAAAACAATGAGGAGTCCTGTGGAATTTTAGGACTTCTTGTTGTATTTGCAGACACAGACTAATATTACTACCCCTCTGAGTTCACAAAGTCATTGTAGTATGTTATAACTATGATAGATACAGGCATTTTAAATAGGCTGGGCAACATTTTTGCTTGGCTTTCCCAAATATACTTGAAATACTGCATGTGCAACTGGTTACATAGAGATGAGTTAATTAACTTGGCAATTTTTGCACATGTCAAATACAGATAAGTTTGAAAGGTCTGTTGAAAATTTGATGTTGTAGATGGACGGGTATGTATAAATACTAGATATGGTTACCCCAAAAATATTCACTGGAGACCACCCAGAGTTACACTAGTATGGGTTTATTTCCACTAGGTAAAACTAAAGAGGAGTAAGCAGCAACCAAAGGTTTAAACTAAAGAAGATAGCATTCTCTCTCTGACACAGACAAGCAAGCAAGCACACACCCCTCCATTCATTCACACCCATTCATCCCTGCTCTCAGGCACTCACACTTACACAGACATGTAGGTTGCTGAAGGAGCCAAGGCATGTGGATCCTGGAGGGTCTATCTGCTCATCATGGCTGGGGAAGCTGGTCAGAAGGGAAGACACTGAAGAGGAACTTCTCAGGAGCAAGGGAAGGAAAAAGAGAATCTCACATGTATTCCTTCTCTTTATATTGTGTCTGAATGGCTCCTGGGACTCATTCACCTCATCATCAGGGAACGTGCCCAGTCGTCTCTTGATCCAGCAGGGAGCATGCCCAGATTGTTCTCAGTCTTCTTCAGACACACTGTCAGACTCAGTCTCTCTCCATTCACTCAGGGGAGAAGCATCTTAGGGAAAGTTACAAGCAAGGTGGCTGAGAGTTACAAAGATGACAAGGTTGCAGTTTACATAAACTTGAGAGTTACACAGATTACAAAGTTCCAGTTTAAAAGCTTAGACCTTACAATTTGGTGTAGTTTCAGAAAATCCAGGTATCTAAATCAAGTAAGCTCAGGCGGAGGCTTTTTTATGCAACAGATATGAACCTGAAATTGAGTCATTTCTTGAAAATTTATTCTGTATAGGACTACCTTTACCCTAAAGAGATCTTTTAAAAAAAAACATACTACCTTCTGGGAAAAACTGAAATTTTACTTAACGTGAATCGCGCATATAAAAATATTCAGGTTCTGAGGTGCTCAAAACTAACTTAAGATAAATCTTTTATGAAATCAAGGAGCCAAACTCCTTCTTGGTGTATAGCTAAGTGATATCTTTAAAATATATGTGAGCAAGATATACAAAGTGAAGGCCATGAGCTACTTGTGATCCATACCAATGTTCACACTACCATTAGTGGGAGATTGACGCAATGAATGAGGGTAAAATATAGTCACTACATAGTAATCAAAATTACTTTTGCATTTAGCAGCACTAATGAGAGAAAATAATGCAGGAAACTTTTAGTCACTGATTTTTAAATTTTTATTGGATGTGTGTGTGCAACTACTTGTTTTGTGTGAACAGCTGTAATTGTACATCATCAGCCGTGCAATTGCACATCTAAGATTTCTATAATTATTTCCCTTTAAAACATGATTAGGCAGGAGAATTTGTCCTATTGAGAGGAATATGGGCACTTTATGAACTTGCCATCTCAGTTTGAAATAGGTGCTCAACTACTGATATATATGGGGTCATGTTTTGAAGGTTTGTTCGCAACTATAAGGCCTAGAAACTTAGCATACATATTAAAATGGAAGCTTGCATTCTGCAGAATGTGAATTTGTCATGGAGGCTGAATAATATAATCATTTACTATCCAAAGTTGCATTTCATGGTCAGTTTTGCAACCTTTATGTAAATGCAACAATAGATTTGCGTGTGTTCTGTGTAAG